AGTCAGGAATTGGTAATGTTTGTCTCCCAACAGATGTTGGGGTAATTGAAAACTCCCATCATTATTATTTCATCCCTTTTTTTGAAAGATCTGCAATTTAGTTTTAGAAAGCCTAGTCTTCATATTTTCCTTGGCTTGATGAGCAAAGGAAAGAGCAACAACAGTATCACTTTATTTGTTGGATTTGGGTCCAGATCTTTTCTTGTTATATGTTCCTATTTTTAGCTGACAATGTTAGAAGTGAGTAAATATGGGATTAGGTGGTCTCAGTAGAAATTGGACCAACAAACGCTGGCTATTTTTCTCCTTCATTTCATATCTATACCAGTAATCTGGACATGCAGAAAACTTTGGCCAGATTACTAGCACAAAAATAGTCTATGAGTTTATTTGTTGCAAATGAAAGAAAGTGGTTCATTAATTATGTGTAGAGCAGTGGTGGCGAACCTCTGGGCACACACACTGTCTCCCCAGCCCCGCCTCCTCCCACGGCCCCCTCCTCCGCAGCAGCCCCCCTGGAGGAGAGTCGCCCCTGGGTGCGACCCACACGAAGCAGCATAGGCAAGGACATGGTAGCCGGGCAGTGGGGCCAAGACTCCACCCTTGGACCCCGTTGCATTCAGATGATGCTGCGGGGCACGGGCGGAAGGCGTGGCCGCCATGGTGCTGCTGGGCTGCCTGGGTGATCTGTGGCGGGCTGTGGAGGTGGTGGGTGGCCCAGTGGGCAGGGCGGAGTGGGGACGAGGGTGGGGGGCAGGTTTTGGGCACTCGGTCTCTAAAAGGTTCGCCATCACTGGTGTAGAGAGTAAAGAAGATGATCTTGACAGATAGACCAGATTCATTACCAAAGCATCAAGGGAAAAACATGGCTTAAGTCCAAAACAAGAAGACATGTATAAAAGATTCAAGCAGGCACCTCCCTAATTCACACAAGTATGAAGGGAAGTGGGAAGTAATATGCAATTAGACTTGCAAGAATCTATTGCTATAGCCAAGTACTGTAGTTCTAGCCTTTGGGGGAGGCTAATTTCTCAGTTTGGCCTGCACAGTGAGGCTGACATTGTATGAGTGGCTTTAGTAAAACACATGATGTTGTCTTCAGTAAAAAAAAAAAAGGAAGGAAATTAGTATGAACATATAGACCATATAGTGTTTCCAACCCACATGTGGCCCTGGACAGCTAGTAATGCAGTGCCACAAGATATAATAAAAATATTTAAAAAATAAAGGAAGATTGTTATTTATGTACATTAGTTATATTATATATTTTATATGCAGCCCAAGACAATTCTTCTTCATTCAATGTGGCCCAGGCAAGCCAAAATGTTGAACACCCATGATATAGAATAGATGCTTAGCCTGAAACACTCTGACTCTCAGGCTGATGAGTGTGAGAAGATATCTTTTTTGGGATTTATTTATTTTATTTGTTACATTTATTTGCCACCTATCTTACCATGAGGCTACTTTAGGCAATTTACAATAGTAAAAAGGAAGACAATGAAAGGAGTGCAAACAGATAATGATGATGTTATCCATTCAGTTACGTCCAATTCTTACTGATTCTATGGACCAGGTCTTTCCACATCTTCCAATTTTGCATTACTTCTTTGAGTTTTTCTATGTTGTGGCTGGTGTCAGCTTTGATGGTGTCCAGTCATCATGTTCCTTGGTGGCCTGGTTTTCTTTTACCGCTAACTCTTCCAAACACAATTGCTTTCTCCACTGAGTGTAAACAGAAAAAAAGTAAAATAACAGAACAATGAAATAAACAATGGCAACAAGAACAATAGCAATAACAAGAGCGTTTAGACTTATATATCACCCCATAATGCTTTACAGTACTCTCTGGGTGATTTGCAATGTCAGCGTTATTGCCTCAAACAATCTGGGTTCTCATTTTACTGACCTTGAAAGGATGCAAGGCTGAGTCAACCTTGATTGAACTCTGTGCTGTCGGCAGAGTTTGCCTGTAATACTGCACTTAACCATTGCACCATCAGGACTCCAAACATTAGTACGATAACAAAAAAAAATGGATGGTTTGAGAGCAGAAAACAAGGAGGGGAGGTGGATTCTGCCTTCAATCCAGCAATCACCTCCAGTGTGGCACTTCCCTATTTGGTCCCCAGGCCAATTGGCAAAGCCAGGTCTTCAGGGTCTTGCAGAAAGATAGGGGGGTCTGCTACGAAGGCTTTTCTAGCAGACCCTGAATCTGAAATGTGTATTTCTGTGCTATGTCAATGTGCAATAATTACCCTGGCATTTTTTTTTGTTGGTTTAAAATATTTCCTCTTTCCAAGGCAGTTATTCAAGATAACTGTCTTAAAGATTAAACTGGTAGAAATGCAATCCTTACAAGTGAAAAATGTACTCTGTCAAGACCCTAGCAGCAGACCCTGACCAGGGAAACAAACCTTACACAGAGTTTCATTAATCAGGCTTAGAATCAAGAAAGAAATAGTTAGGATACAGGCTGTTGGAAAGTGAATAAGCGCAATTCCACCCTCATTCATGAGCAAATGCATTAAGGTGGTGTCTCAGAATTGTTTGAACCTCTTTTTCCCTGAATGCAAAGCTGAAGGGCTAATACCATTTTTCCCCAGATAAAGTTGGCACTGGAGCATCCATCTTTTTTTTTTTATTAGTCATGTTTTGAAATATCCTCTTTTGTGTCTCAGCCTCAGTAACTTTCTCTGCTTGGTCTCAATGAGGTGCCAGTCTTTGGAATCTTTGCTTGGTTAGTCATGGATAAAATAACTTCCCTCTTGCCTGCCACTCAGAAATGCACTGACTTGAAGTTGGCAGAAAAGTAATCTCCAAAGTAATTGGCGTTGGGGTAGGCAACTAAAGGCTCTTCAGGTGTTTTGAATCTCAATTTCCATAATCCCTGAATACTGCTCCCTGATTAGAGAAATCCAAAACACCAAGAGAATATTAGGTGATGTACCCCTCATGCTATTTCAGCCACAAAACATGATGAATGTGCAAGGGAAACATGTTTTTGTACTTATTTCCTTTTCAACAGGAGATAAATTATGATTTTGCCGATGCATTCATTTGAGACAGAGGGAAATTTCTTGAGTGCTCTATAATACAGTTAATCCTCAATTTACGACCACAGTTGAGCCCAAAATTTCTGTTGCTAAGGTTAAGTGAATTTTGCCCTATTTTATGACCTTTGTTGCCACAGTTGTTAAGTGAACCACTGCAGTTGTTAAGTTAGTAACATGGTTGTTAAGTGGATCTGGCTTCCTCATTGACTTTGCTTGTCCGAAACTTGCATACGTTGACCCTGTAAATACATGCCAGTTGCCAAACATCCAACTTTTGATCAAAGGCATACTGCGACAGTCATAAATGTGAAAAATGGTCATAAGTCACTTTTTTCAGTGCCGAATAACTTCGAACGGTTGTTAACCAAAGGTTGTAAGTTGAGGACTACCTTTATATTCTTATATAACAGAATAACCTCCAAGGGACTTGGAGGCCTTCTAGTCCAATTCTCTGCTCAGTCAGGAAACCCTATATACCATTTCAGACAATGATTGTCTAATCTCTTTTTAAAAACATCCAGTGTTGGAGAACATAGAACTTCTGGAGGCAGACTGTCTGACTGATTAATTGTTCTAACTCTCAGGATATTCCTCCTTAGTTCTAGGTTGCTTTTCTGTTTGGTTAGTTTCCATCCATTGCTTCTTGTCTTGCCTTCTGGTGCTTTGGAGAATAGCTTGACTCCCTCTTCTTTGTGGCAACCTCTGAGATACTGGAACACTGCTATCATTTCACTCCTAGTCCTTCTTTTCATTAAACTAGACATACTCAATCCCAGCAACTATTCTTTATATGTTTTAGCTTCTAGTCCCCTGATCATTTTTGTTGCTCTTCTCTGCACTCTTTCTAGAATCTCAACATCTTTTTTTTACATCATGGTGACCAAAACTGGATTCCAAGTATGGTTTTGCCAAGGCATTATAAAGTGGTATTTAATACTTCATGTGATCTTGATTTTATCCTTCTATTAATGCATTCTAGCACTGTGTTGGCTTTTATGGCAGCTGCAGCACACTGCTGGCTCATATTTAAGTGATTGTCCACTAGAAGTCTGAGATCCCTCTCACAGTTACTACTATTGAGCCAGGTACTACCTATACTATACCTGTACATTTGGTTTTTCTTGCCTAAATGCCTTACTTTTTTCACCACTGAATTTCACCTTACTTTTTTCACCACTGAATTTCACCTTACTTTTTTCACCACTGAATTTCACCTTACTTTTTTCACCATTGAATTTTACCTTGCTTTTTTCACCATTGAATTTCATTTTGTTAGATGTTCAAGTTTGTCAAGAGCCTTCTGTATCTTAAACCTATCTTCTGGAGTGTTGGCTATTCCTGCCAACTTGGTGTCATCTGCGAATTTGATGAGTTCCCCATCTATCCCTTCATCCAAATAATTGACGAAGATGTTGAAGAGCACTGGGCCCAGAACAGGGCCTTCATCTTATATGAAAGATAAAAACAGTTGCAGGAACAGTACTAGTGTAGTCAATACCCTCTTTTGGCTAAGGGGCACAGGTACAAAAATGGGGTGGTGGTGGCAGCAGCATTCCTTTTGTGGTCCCCAGAGTCTTCCAGAATAAATATGCCCCCAAATTTAGACCACCCCTTTGTCTTTTTTGTGCTTAACTCTTTCATTTCACTTTTTAAATTGCTAGAACCAATCAAAATGGACTTTGGAGGAATACACATCTTGTCAGGTTACACCAAATCAAGGGCATCCTTGATAAACTGTGTGCAACCATAGGGTACATCCATTTGGCCCCATAAAATTGCGAACTCATTTAGCTCCTGGTTGATGCCCCTACCATTTCAACCCGCACTTCAAAGGGCCATTCCTTTGTGAGATGCTGGAGGTGTGCAGGATAGAACACGGCACAACAACTAAAAACAGCCTTTCCTTCTCTTCTTTCCTATCTTCTAAACTCACTCTAATTCCTTTTCTCAGCTATCCCCTGCAGCCTCAGTCCAAATGGCATCGATCTCTCTGTGTGTACTGAAGGAATTAGCTTGCAACTTGAAGGTGAAAGAGTGGAGCCAACCTCACTTAAGAAAGAAACCTCTAAATTGCCTGAGTTGAAAGAAACTCTCCAAAGGCAGCCGCTGGAATCAGAAGCATCTAAGGTGGGTATTACCACGCCTCTTTCTTTACTCTCTGCCTCCCCCCCTCCCCCCCCCCGGTATTTGTAAGCTGCTGTATAATTCAGAATCTGGACTGTATACAAGAGGAGAGTAAAAAACCAACGAGGTTGAAACCCACAATATGTAATCAAAATAATGGATGGTCACCCGCAGTTCACCCAAATCAGAGGTATGCCTGACCTGAATGGTTTTCAAAGCATTGCAAAATGTATGGAGGGTCAGGGCTACAAGAAAAAGCAGAATATGGGTGCTACTACCAAAAACATCTGCCACACTCAGCTGATAGCTGAAAGTACTTCCCCTGGCTGTGGGATCTTCAAGCAATCTCTCTTTAGATCAGGGGTGTCAAACTGCCGCCCCGCGGGCCAGATGCGTCATGGCAAAACTGCACCCACCCCATTGCCGGCAATGGAAAAAAGTCACTATACGTCACGACACGTCACGTGACATTGCGACTTTGACACCCTTGGTTTAGATGATTGGACTGGACAAGCAGAATCACATTTTGCCAGGCAGTTCCTGAGACATCTCGGTACCATCTCATACCCCAAAGAGGTTTATAGGTGATAGCCAACGTTTAAGAGATTGTTCAAGTCTAGTGAGGAACACATATATTTTCCATATTCAGTTCCAGAGGTCTCTAGGGGGGAAAAGTCTGAATAGTTACTGAAGACAAATTGATTAGATGTGTTCAGTTGCAAGATGACCATAGGTTGGTGCAGTGAGTGTGTTTTAAATCCCAAAGGATTGAATCCTTGTCTTCTCCAGTCAAAAATAATAAAAAAGCACAGGAGATGGAAGCCTGGAGTGTGTGTGTGTGTGTGTGTGTGTGTGTGTAATATTAAACAATATTTTTCTCTCACTCAGTCTGACTTAATTTATTTTTTAAAAAAGATCTATGTACAAAGGAAATCATTAATCCTACTCAAGCATAGAAGATTTGAAATCAGAACCTTCCTGTGTCTGTTTTGTGGAATATACTGTTCATCTTTCTTTTACTTTTTATGCATTATACAGTAGTTTAAAAATTATTAACGTTCTATTTTTAAATAGTTTAGAAAATCAAGAATTTAAAAAGAGAAAGAAAAAAATTCCTATTAATGTTTTTATAATCACAAATTAGGATGGCAGTATTACAAACATGTTCTTTATTAGCTTTTGCATCCAACATTAAAAAAGAACCACAACAACTCATATTAAAATAATTGTTTTTTACTAAACAAATTTATTGGCAAGCACGAAAGACCAAGTCCACATGTCAAGGTTCAATTAACTTGATTTATTGCTAAAAGCTTATGCACAAGAATCTTCTCAACTAGTGGTCTGCATCTCTAAGAGTTAGATAAGAGTTAATGACACTCAGAGGGGTTGGACTTAGTTCTTTTATGGCTATGTAAGGATTCTAGGCTGATCCCCCTTTTCATTCTGTCCCCAGGTTCTGCCATCTCTTCTCCTACATTTATATAGCTGCCCATCTACCAAAGGGAATTCTGGGCGGGTGAAATCTTGGAAACTGGCTTCCAAATGAAGCAGTTGGATTGGCACATGACACTGTATCATGTCTTATTTAATAAGTTGATTGAACAGACTGCAATAGACTATGTTTGCACAAAACCCCAAGCCAGAAGTCCACAAGTTCCTTATACTTCAATCCCTTAGAATCAAGGAATGGGGCCATAGATGCCATTCATCATCTGATAGGTCTGGATCAAAATCTTTGGTCTGAATCGAGATGGGCGGTGGAGAGAAGGAATTAGTGCTTCAAGGTAGCTTTTGGCATCATTTTTTTTCCATTTAGCCCCAACTACTATGACAAATCAACTCAACAGGGCTGTGGTGGGGAGAATGAGAAGGGTTAAATGGGATTAAAGTCAACCAATTCAGTTTTTAATTCCCTCCATCTTATTCCTCCTAACCAAGCAACTCAGCAAACAAAGAAACAAATAAAATGATTATTTTATCTTTTTTCCCTTTTCATAAATACTCTGGGGGCTGCAGAAAGTTGGCAGGAGCCTGTAAATTCTGCATCTAATCTGGGTAGGAGGGTTATGCAGTGCTCCAGATTCAAAGGCAAAAATAGGCTTTGGAGCACACAGAACTGTCCATTCAATGCTTGTTGGCAGCGCTTTAAACAAAATGCCTTCTTCCCTGGGTCCCTGTTGTGGCTGCAGACCTCAGATGAATGACCTCAAGACAAGGCATAGTTACTCTGAGCAGCTGCTGGCAGATGTTAAGGTCCATCCCCACGTGCTCCAAAATACCTTTTCTCTTTGAATATGAAAGACGGAACAGCACAGTGATAAACGAAAGCTAAAAAAACCCCATAGCATCTGGGATCAGGCAGCCTATTAAGCCCAGTTTGAATTATTCAAATGATATCTTAGCATACCAAGTGAATCCAACGGCAGTGACTGGGCAAATAATCCTTTCCGATTTAAGCCTACTGTCTTGGTTCCTGGCAATAACTGAAACTGCTGTGAACATCGTTCTTTATCCTTCATTCTGCTGGAAGCTCGAAGGTAGATATTCAGAAAATGTATCATCATGGAAAGCCAGCCTTTGTAGAAGAGAATATTTTTCTTTTTAATTTTTTATTTAAGAGTGACTACCATGTAATGCCAAATAGACTTGCAGTGATCCTTTTTGTAGACTGCCAGTTGCAAATAATATCAGATGTTGGCTGTCAGTAGACTATTTTAGCAGTCTCCAAACTTGGCAACTTTAATAATAATAATAATAATAATAATAATAATAATAATAATAATAATAATAATAATAATAATAATAATAATAATAATAATAATAATAATTTAATTTGTACCCCGCCCTTCTCCTCACCGGACTCAGGGCGGCTCACAGCTTTATAAAACCACAATACAATAAATATCTACATTAAAACCAAATTAAAAGAAAATATTTGAAAAGGCCAATCATTTAAAATTACCCTTAAAATTACCCTTAAAAACCCCACTAAAATTCCCTAGGCCAGACCCGCTTGTTGAAAAAGCCATGTCTTTAGGGCGCGGCGGAAGGAGGGGAGATCCGGGATCACCCGGATCT